CCAGCAATACATTTTTGGAAAAAAAACTTACCAGCTATATATATATATATATATATATATATATATATATATATATATATATATATAAAGAAAAAAAAGAACAGTAACGGTGTTCTTATTGATATTTTATTTTTACAAAACAGTGATCAATGTAAATTTACAGAACATAAATATTATAAATTAACTGATTTAAAATGTGGCTTGTTCGCTACACAGTAATAGCCATGTTTCAAAAGCTGAAGTTAAAAAATTCCAATTTAATTATATAATTAAATTAAAAGAATTAGTTCTATTTCATCTTTAAGCGAATTTTGGAAAATTCTGATTTTGAATTATGGTTAATACTCTTTGCGAATAAACCATATTTTAAAAGCAGTTAATTATAATATATATATATATATATATATATATATATATATATATATATATATATATATATATATATATATATATATATATACCAACAATACATTTTTGCAACAAAGACAATACCAGAAATACATTTGTTTTAAAAGAAATTACTAATGCTCCCTATAAAATTAAATTTCGGTATTAAATGATCCATAAGGATTTGATATGCCGTAGAACAAACCAAACCAAACCAAATATAACGATTTTTGTTTTTAATGTTCTTGTTTTCACTAAACGTACGCAAATTTCAAATTTAATTATATAATTAAATTAAAAGCATTAGTTCTGTTTCATCTTCAAGCGAATTTTGGAAAATTCAGATTTTGAAACATGGTTATTACTCTGTAGCGAAGAAACCATATTTTAAATCAGTTAATATTATATATATATATATATATATATATATATATATATATATATATATATATATAGATAGATAGAATAGATAGATAGATACCAGCAATACATTTTGCAATAAAAAAATATCAGGAATTTGTTTTTAAAGAAATTACTAATGCTCCCTATAAAATTAAATTTTGGTATTAAATGATCCATAAGGATTTGATATGCCGTAAACCAAACCAAACCAAACCAAATATAACGATTTTTTTTAATGTTCTTCTTTTCACTAAACTTCACGCAGATTTGATGATGGTAAAATAGTTTTGTTGAATAAGGTATTTGATCTGAATAAATGAAACCGTATTACAGAGTGAAGCTTATGAAGATAAGAAGGACAGAGACTAATTGAACTTTTAATTGAAGATGCTAAGATTCTAGTGTTCACTCGCTATTACATAAAGTAGAAGTTTTTGAGAAAAGGCTATCTGAGGAGCAGGGCCGCTCTCTACTACATTGGTGATTTCAAAGTTTCCCAACATGGAGGCCACAAACCCTCGAAGGAGAACTGGAGGAAAGGCATCGCTTTTTAAAAAAAAAAAAATTACCAGGGAATTATCCAATTTAAATGAAAATTTCAGTACATATTCATTAATTATTTACTTTTATAATGAATAGGTTATTTAAAAAAAAAGTTATTCTTTTCGTAATAACTACTAACATTTTCATGACTAAATTTTACTCGAAAAAAATGTTTAATCGCAAATCTTTACATTTCCATTAAGAGTAATCACCAACTCATCTTCGTTGAAAAAAAAATGTTTTATAAAGATTCCAACACAACACAAACAGTATTTCAGTTTTCAGGAAAAATTTTTCATCATGTCGAGATTTTTAAATATTTTTATTTTTTAAGCGATATATTTTTTAGGTTTTATCTTTCTAGAAATGTAAAAACAGGGACTAGAAATTATTATTTTAATTACTAGCCGTGGGCTTCTGGTTAGTATTACTATTAGTAAAAAAGAAATCAGACATTCTCCTTAGTAGATGTTCTTGGAAAAAAATGATTTGACCGAGATATATTTACCCTCTTCTTTGATTTCAAAGAACTGTTCAGAAGGAAAATTATAGTTTTAAGTATTACGGAAATTCGAACCTCAGTCTCCCCCTCTCCAGTAATCATGGGGCCCCTACATGGTGGAGAGGTTTAGTGTAATAAGGACCGGCCCTATCGATTATTATAGTTGATGATAGACAATATAACTTAGGTAGAAAAAAAATTAAAAAAACGCACAATAAAAAACAAAAAAAAACATTACTGCTGAAACTAGCCCTTTCGGGGCTCTAACCTCGTCGGCGGTTCTTGTGTAGTACGCACAGCACCGGCCAAAGCAGATATACAATGTATATAATTAGTTGATGACTGAAAAATATGTCGACGGGACCTAAAAAATATCTGGTAAAGGGTTTCGTGGGAAAGACGCGCCGGCCTTGCTAAGGAGAATTTTTACCTTCAGACAGAAACAAATAGCGTGATACGACTCCATGCAAGTGGCATAATAAATCCTAGCTGTAAAGGTCTGAACTGGTTGAACTAAAGAGATCTGAACATTTGCCATGGAAATAGCCATAGGATAGCAATAATATTTCACCTTGCAGAGAGGGGAATGAGCCTTCCTCCACAATACAGTGTAAACAATTTTCAACGTTAACAAAACAAAATGATATCTGATAGTATTATTCCAACGAGTAACTGTCTTTATTCCTGAGATGAAGTATTATCTACACTATTTACGTTGTTTGAACTATCGTCCTCATATGGGATTACGTTTAAATCATAGACAAGGAATCAACACATCTGCTAGGCTACAAAAATCTCCTGAGCCGACCAAGCATAGAAATGAATACAATATGAGAACCAGTAATAAGGAGTGCCAGAAAAAAGCAATATAAACAACGAAAATTGCAATATGAGCTCTGGTAAAAAACATGTAATGATAACAGCAAAAATGTGCAATATCAGCACTGGTAAAAATAGTTGCTGAAAACATTATGTTTATAAGTTCCAGAAATTCATACACAGATGTCCTCAAGGTCACATGTCACAGTGCATAAAGGCGTTAGTTAGATCCATTAAGAGGACCAGAAGAGATGTGAGTTCAATACCTGGTTAAGGCGGTGGAGAACTTGGTTAGGTGAATTAACAGGAGATAACTGATAACTGACATCCATTAAACATGGCACGTGAAACTAGAACATTCTATCCTAGTGAGCGAAATAAAGGGTTCAGTTCGACATTTCAACCAGCTGAAGAAGTCCGGAGCGTCCAACGGCTGAAACGTTGTGATAAATATGACAACAAAGATGAGAACGATAGTCCGAACAATGTAAATAATGTCCAACGAATGAATCATCTAGTAATTATAAAACTATAAATATATATTCTTTTTTAAGGATGTTTACCCAGTCTTCTTCTATGTGTCCTTTTCTCTTGAAGACGAAGGCGATCATGGCTCGCCACAATTTCCTGTATTTTTGTTATCTTCCCGCCACACCAGGATCCGCCATCGATTCACTCAAACTCGTCAGGTAGGTCCTTTTATTCCTCTGCCCCGCTTGCCTTCAATCTGCCCTGTAAGTACTAAGATTGCGAAGCTTTCTGTCCTCGTTATTTGCCCTAGAAGTTTCACCTATCTCTTCCTGATGTTCTGTATAAGTTACAGCTTTATTTCCATTGTATCTAGAACTTCACCATTGTTCACATATTCAGTTCAGAATATACCCAGAATGCTCGTGTCGAAAATTAAAACATTGTTTCGATAAAATCTCCATTTGAAGTTGTCTAGTAGGTCAGATTTCCAGATTACATCCATTTTATTCCAGTTGGCCAAGGGTTTAGCTATGCGAATTTTCACATTCCTTTCACTAGAATTTATTTCGCTTTTTAGGTATGTAAAAGATTCGACAGATTTTATTGTTTCATCTGAGACAATTTGAATTGAACCTTTCTTGTTTGAAGTCTGTGAATTCAGTATTAGCAGGTATCCAACATCATTAGCAATCGATGTTGACGTCTATTTCGTTAGCTCGGCCGAATAAAAATTATGTTGTACCATATTTCTCTTGCTTCAAGTGTCTTCTTCAGCTGTGAGGACAATATTCACTGGCAGCTATTTAGTTTGTAAAAGCAAGCAGACGTGTATAATACATACGCTGAATTGTTGCCCATTTTGAAATCGTTTTTTTTTATATTCATTAGAAACAAAACGTTACAACAAAAACAAGGATTGTAGTAAAATTTCGCACTAAAGACACGACGTGAAACCGAATGTAAGATAAAAGGTATATTTTTGTCTGAACTTCTAGGATAACGAATTATCATTATTTACAATATTTATATTCGAACTACCGCTGTCATCTTTGCTGTCGTTAACAATTTTAAACCTTTTATTTAATCTGCTGAGGTAGACTATTCTCGTTCAACTGTCCATGTCTAGGGATATCGTCTAGCTTCTATTATTTTTTTTTAGTACTACTGTTCAATTATTACTCACCCGTTACGACTGAGTGCAATTCTGTTGAACTCACAAGTATTATGACACCAAATTCCCGAACCAACGCATTTATCCGCTAGGACACTGTCCCGTAGGACAAGTTGCTGTAGTGAACTTAGAACCTTAAGTTTAATGCTGAAAGTTTACTACAGCAACTTGTCCTACCTCGGTGCTGATTAGGTTGCTACTGTTGCTGCTGCTGCTCTTTTACCTGCTGCTGTTGCACATGATTTTATTTTTGCTGTTGTTGCTTCTAACGGAGGCCCTCATAGCCTATCATATGCACCGATTCCTTCCCTGTAGGTTACCCAGTTTGACATATACATGAAGACGGCTGGTGGGCACAACTGCCAAAACGTTGTGAAAATGCAAAGATGAGGATAATAGTCCGAATATAAATAATGTATTTTCGGTTATTAATACAAACCCATTTTTGATGGACACAGTGGAAAATAGTTTTACAGAAGAAACCTAGGTCACCTCGACATGACTTAATTGTTAGAAAGTATGACTCGCTAGCTCCATTAAGACTGAATATTCAGTTCGATTCTCACTGGGTGCCTCATGCATACGGCCTTGTGCCATAACTAAGTAAGGCCGTAAGTACTCAACTAAGCTACGATTAGTAGATACTATTACTCGGCAGAGTTAGGTTAGGGTTAGGATTAAGTACTTCTCTATTTTCGTTTGTCGATGATTGCCCCTCTCTCGCAGTCTGGCCCAGTTTATCTATCTATCTATCTATCTATCTATCTATCTATCTATCTATGTATCTATCTATCTATCTATCTATCTATCTATCTCTGCCTGTTCGTATCTATCTATCTATCTATCTATCTATCTATCTATCTCAGATTGTTATCTATCTATTTATCTATCTATCTATCTATAGACCGTTTATATAGGTATAACTCTCTACTCTCTCTCTCTCTGTCCAAATCAACCTATGTATTTCCGTCTGCCCGGGTCTATACTTCTCTCTTGCTTTCTTTTTCTCTCTTTCACTCTCTCAGTCTAACCTTATCTATCTATCTATCTATCTATCTATCTATCTATCTATCTATAGACTGTTTATATAGTTATAACTCTTTACTCTCTCTCACTCTATCCAAATCAACCTATGTATTTCCATCTGCCCGGGTTCATACTTCTCTCTTGCTTTTTTTCTCTCTTTCACTCTCTCAGTATAACCTTATCTATCTATCTATCTATCTATCTATCTATCTATCTATCTATCTATCTATCTATCTATAAATATCTCAATTCATATATATATATATATATATATATATATATATATATATATATCCCCATCACGCTATCTAAATCTTCCTCTTTCTGTGTCATCACTTTCTTTCTTTCTCTCTTTCTCATTCTGGCCATGTATATCTATCTGTTTTATTCTGCCTGCCACCTATACACTCTCATGACATCCTTATGCGCTTCGCATTCCATTGATAAGGAGGTAGATCCACTCAAACAGCCTTTTCCCTAGAATTGTTACGTTGCGTAACCGACTACTGAAAGGATTCTTCCATGGTCACTATGCTCATTCCTCATCGAATCTACATATTACGACCTTAGAAGAACCTATTCAGAAGTTTCTACCTTGAGTGGCTCTTAGGCCTTCTATAATATGAAGTATAGTCTAACAATATTTCTACTATTCTTATGACTGCTCTACTTCTGCTACGACTGTTATTACGATGGCTACTACGGTTAGAATGACGTCTCCCGTCTGTTGTTATTACGACTACGAGATCTGATTGCATCTGTCACCGAGACTTACTTTTGTCACCGAGACTTGCATTTCAATAGTTCTACTCGATTTCGCTGTCTCTGCGTCTCTCTTTCTGTCTCTATCTCTATCTGCGTCACAGTCTTTATTTCTCTTTCTGTCTACCTCTTTCTTTGTCTCTGTGCATCCCCTCTCTCTCTCTCTGTGTCTTTGCGTTTCAATCTTTCTTTCTCTCTTTCACTGTCACTTTATCTCTCTCTATTTCAGTCTGTGTTTCTGTATTTCTCACTCAATTTCGGTCCCTATATCTCCCGTTTTCCCTCTATCTATGTGTATGTGTGTCTCTCTCTCTTTCTCTCTCTCATTGCCTCTGTGTTTCTCTCTTTCTTTTCTGTCGCTGACCCTAGGTCTTTTCCGTATTATTTTCCGCCTATCTCTCTCTCTCTCTCTCTCTTTGCTTCTCACTCTTTATTTCACTCTTTCTATCCGCCTACCTCTTTCTCTGCCTCCGTATCTCTCCCATTCTCTATCTGATTCTTTCTCTCTCTCTCTCTCTGATTTTCAATTTTTCTTTCTCTATTTCTTTCACTGTCTTTGTGTCTCTCCCAATCTCTCTCTGTGCCCCTTTCTCTCTCTCTCTCTCTCTTTCGCTCTCTGTGTTTCCCACTTCCCCAATATCTGCGTGTCTCTCTGTCAGTTTCGTTGCCCTATTTTTCTTTATCGCTGTGCTTCTCTCTTTCCTTTCTGTCGCTGAGTGTCGATCTTTCTCCATGCCGTTATATTCTTTCTTTCTTTCTTTCTTTCTTTCTTTCTTTCTTTCTTTCTTTCTTTCTTTCCGCCTCTCTATGTCTCTCTATCTCTCTCTGTTTCCCCTATTTCTCTGTTTGTGTCTCTCTCTAGCTTCGCACCATTTCTCTCTCTGCATTTATGCAAACTCTCTATTTCTCTTTCAGTACCACTCTCTTTCTCTCCTCCTCTCTCCCCTTCACTCACTCTCTTTGTTTCTCTATTTTTCTCTCTGTGTTTTTGTTTCCCACCTTTCCATCTGTGTGCGTGTGTCTCTCTCTCTCTCTCTCTCTGATTCTCTCTCTCTCTCTCTGTACCTCTATTTCTATCTCTTTTTCTTTCGCTTGCTTTATGTCTCTATCTGTCTCAGCGCCTTTGTATTTCCTTGTCTCTTTTTTTTCTCCCACTCTCCGCCTTTGCGTCCCTCATTTTCTCAATTATTTTCTCTTTTACCATCGTCTGTTGAAAAAGGGAGATAACCGTCGAAGTGGTACTTTATGATTCAATTACAAAGCTTCAGCAATTTCCGGTCTCCCCCTCCAAGTAATCACGTGTTCCAACGATGCGCTGCTGTTGGTGTATCAGATATCGTCTGCTTTGATCATTTCGAAGCCTATCAGATTTCTTTTACTTTTGAATTTCACTTATTACCTTTTTTTTTTTTCTCTGGAGATTTTTTTCTTGTTCACTTAACCTTTTCTCTCTTTAGTACTACTCATTTTTCATTTATTTATTTATTCGTTTTCCTTAAATATAGCCCAGTAGCGACTGATGGGATTGTAAAGAAATATTTCTCATTCAATCTCTAGAAAACCGTCATGTTTGTGTGTACTTTTTCAACGAGCAGTCGTCTTCCATTCAGAAAGCGATATCAAAGAAAAAAAAATCGCAAAAATTAGAAAAGAGAAGAAAATGTCCTATTCATTTTCTGTAGAAAAGCTTGTCATTTTTACTCTGTAGGTGATATGATTTTCTCTCTTGACACAGCCTCAAAACTTAAAAGACAGTGACGTTTGTATACATTTAAACAAACTAATTCGCCAATTGTTTCCAAAGGGAGATCACTTGCTTTCTAAATAGATTTAACGAAAGAGAAATATTTTGAGAGATAGCATGAATTTAAGTAAAGAAACTCAAAAGAAATATGAATAAAGGTAGATATATCTGATAAGAAATTTCTTTGAGACCTTTAGCGTTATTTTCTTCTTTTTTTTTTAGCAATGGTTGTAATTTTTCTTTACTTAGTTTTTATCGAAGTGTATAGACCATAAATAGCTGGATTGTAATTCAATTACAGCAAAGCAGAATCAGTGGAAAGACGATACTAGTCACAGGTTTGTAGGGAATTTAAAATGGAGACAAGGCGCGACTTGCAAAGCAGGGGACGTTATGAAATGAACGTCCTTTGGTAAGGATCTTTTTCGGACTCGCTGAGAAAACGAAATAGCAAATTCAGCTTGAAACTGCAAGCTGTTTACAGTACCTGCTGAGATGAGATTGTACGAAAACGATTGCAATGGTTTTGATATACATGGGATTATCATCTAATATTCCCTTGGGTTCGATTAAGTGCGATTTTCTTTAGCGTCTGTCGTAGATCTAGCTACGAAATGTCTAGGGACGTTTTTGTACTGTGTGGTTTGGTTTGGTTTATTTTCTTTTACGGCATATCAACCTCAATGGGTTATTTAATGCTGACAGCATTTTTAGGATAGATTTATATGGTAATCAAATGACAATTGGAAACAAATCTTACATATTTTTCCAATTGTCATTTTATTACCAATCTGTCTTGTCCACAGAATTCATCTGGGAATTTAACTATAGATTTATATGAATAGAATATGTATTCTTTAATTTAGATTGGTTTGGTTTATTTTGTCCCACGGCACACCAACCCAAATGGTCTACTCAATGCCGACAAAATTCTTTATTTTGTCTTGTCAAAAATCTGTTTCTGGTAATATTTTCCCTTCAAAATTTTATTGCTGGTAATAATTTTTCCAAAAAGGTATTGCTGGTAATAGTTGACTAGTTGCCCATAGCTTGGACCCTAACAGGTGCTACCACCACGGATCAGGGTGGACCTGGGAACACCAGCAATTAAGAGGTGGTTCCACGTTCATCAAAACCTCCTGATTAATGCCCTTGCTGCTGGACGCAGTTTATCGTGATACCCAGGACGCGGATGTAGTTTCACGTCTTACCTAGGACAGTTGTACTGTGTAGATTAATGAGATAGTTTGGTAGACTATTGCAGGTTAGTGAGCTGAACCTCACTCATACCCTTGTGCCATACTAATAAATACTAGTTGCCTATTGTAGAGCAATGGTCTGCAAGGAACTTTTGCTGATTAGTTCATCTCACAGTGGGATTGATTCTGACTGGTTGCCATACATTTGCCAGATTAAACCAATATTCTCTCATCCATAGGCGTCGCATATTAAGACGTATCAAAAATATTTTCATTTTCTATTGACATTTCCTAAAAAACTTTTTTCCCACTTCACCAATATCTCCGTGTCTCTCTGTCAGTTTTGTTGACCTATCTTTCTTTATCACTGTACTTCTCTCTTTCCTTTCTGTCGCTTAGTGTCGGTCTTTCTTTAGTTCTTTCTTTCTTTCTTTCTTTCTTTCTTTCTTTCTATATGTGCCCATTTCTTTCCCGTCTCTGAATTTCTCTGTTTAAGTGTCTTTCTATTTCTCTTTCAATATCACTTTCTTTCTTTCTTTCTTTCTTTCTTTTCTTTCTTTCTTTCTTTCTTTCTTTCTTTTTTTTTCTTTGTCCCTGTCTCTATTTCTTTCTATATGTGCCCATTTCTTTCCCGTCTTTGAATTTCTCTGTTTAAGTGTCTTTCTATTTCTCTTTCAATATCACTTTCTTTCTTTCTTTCTTTCTTTCTTTCTTTCTTTCTTTCTTTCTTTCTTTGTCCCCTGTCTCTATTTCTTTCTATATGTGCCCATTTCTTTCCCGTCTCTGAATTTCTCTGTTTAAGTGTCTTTCTATTTCTCTTTCAATATCACTTTCTTTCTTTCTTTCTTTCTTTCTTTCTTTCTTTCTTTCTTTCTTTCTTTGTCCCCTGTCTCTATTTCTTTCTATATGTGCCCATTTCTTTCCCGTCTTTGAATTTCTATGTTTAAGCGTCTTTCTATTTCTCTTTCAATACCACTTTCTGTCTTTCTTTCTTTTTTCTTTTTTCTTTCTTTCTTTCTTTCTTTCTTTCTTTCTTTCTTTCTTTCTTTCTTTCTTTCTTTCTTTGTCCCTGTCTCTCTTTCTTTTTCTATATGCCCATTTTCTTTCCCGTCTCTAGATTTCTCTGTTTAAGTGTCTTTCTATTTTCTCTTTCAATATCACTTTCTTTCTTTCTTTCTTTCTTTCTTTCTTTCTTTTTTCTTTCTTTCTTTCTTTCTCTCTTTCTTCCTTTCCTTCTTTCTTTCTTTCTTTCTTTGTCCCCTGTCTCTATTTCTTTCTATGTGCCCATTTTTCTTTTCCCGTCTCTGAATTTCTCTGTTTAAGTGTCTTTCTATTTCTTTTCAATATCACTTTCTTTCTTTCTTTCTTTCTTTCTTTCTTTCTTTTCTTTCTTTCTTTCTTTCTTTCTTTCTTTCTTTGTCCCTGTCTCTATTTCTTTCTATATGTACCCATTTCTTTCCCCGTCTCTGAATTTCTCTGTTTAGAGTGTCTTTCTATTTCTCTTTCAATATCACTTTCTTTCTTTCTTTTCTTTC